CCGGACTTCGTCGCCATAGGCTCGTGCAGCTCTGCTGCTGAGCCATTGGTTCGCTTTTTATTCACTGCACGAACCAATGGCCATGCAGTTACACTGCGTTATTAAAAGGCTTCAGTCATCGGAGAAAAAGGAGTTTTCCCCAAAGCATCTTAGCAGACGCAGTACTCGTTCGGTATCTCAGGGAACCGAGGTTTCGTTAGTAACCGAGTACGTTTTCCCTGTTGGTGAGTTTGTCAACTATGTTACAGACAAACTGTATGGGTTGACAGGTAACATAGTTAACAATTTTGCCATTTTTTTGCCATTTCAATAGCAGGTGTTGTCTGGTCAAACAAATGTTATTTTCTTGATCAAGTTAACCTCAGATTTTAATATTTATTTGAATCAAAATTATACGAATACTGCAAACCTTTACAATGTATCCAACGTAGCTGATGGGCAGTTACTATACTCCTTGACAATAGGTCACTGGAGATCAAATATGTGACCCTGGAGCACAAAAGCAATCTTAAGTCGTTGGGGTATATTTGTAGCAATAGCCAAAAATACATTGTATGGGTCAAAATGATCGATTTTTCTTGTATTCCAAAAATCATTAGGATATTAAGTAAAGATCATGCTCCATGAAGATAACTTTAAAGGCAATTTTCTCAATATTTTGATTGTTTTTTTGTTTTGTTTTTGTACCCTCAGATTCCAAATTTTTAAATAGTTGTATCCTGGCCAAATATTGTCATATCCTAACAAATCAATACATTAATAATAAAAAAAAGACCCTTATGACTGGTTTTGTGGTCCAGGGTCACAAATAGAATCAAAATTATGCATTCATAATTTCTTTTAATAACTTAAAAGTGATTATTTCTATTAATTACAAGCATCATATCATAACATCATTTGAAAATTATGAATTTCACTATGACGGTTAAGTAAGAAACTCTTTAAGTAGAGAAACTACTATTGATCAGTAACACTAAAGGTTTCATTAGTTAACACTAGCTAATGTATTAACTAACAGTGATACATTTATTACAATGTTTATTAATCTTTATTAATGTTAGTTAATAAAATGTTCATTGTTAATTCATGTTACATGTTATTAAATAATATTACCAGATATAAATTTTGATTTGAATAATGTACTAGTAAATAATGATATTTCCATTAACTAAGATTAATGCATGCTTTAGAAGCATTTTTAATTGTTTTACTGACTAATATTAACAAATGAAACCTTTTTATGAAATGTTACCAAAATCTCTTCACTTTAAAAAAAACAGAATTCTTATTGAACTCACTAAACCTGACCTTACTAAAACTGACAGCAACATAATTACAAAAACAATTCAGAGGTATAATTCAAAGAAATTATTTTGCAAGATGAAGTTTCTTCAGTACTTACAGTGTCTGAGGAGCGTCTGTGTGTGTTGTGCTGTTGTTGGACTCTCATCTGTGTTTGTAGAAACACTCTCTTTGTTCTTGCATGTGGGAGTAAATCAGCATCTGAGCGACAGACAATATCATCTCATAATAATGTCCACACACAGCATAAATACAGCACGCACTTATGCAAACGCACACACACAGAGAGAGAGAGAGAGAGAGAGAGAGAGAGAGAGAGCCACAGTCATGCGAACACATGCAAGCACACCACCACAAACACATACACTATACTGTACATTCATTAGAAAGCCACATTGCAACTAATAGACACAAATATGCTTTATTTCTGTTCACACCAAAGCAGTAGGTGGCAGCATGGAGTCATAAGAGACCATTCAGCAAATTCAAGACTATTATCATTGTAAGAACTAACCGTAAAAGGTGTTTACGTGACCCTCTTCAGTCACATTCACATACTTGCCATTATTCTGATTATCAATGCTAATTAGTTTCCCGCCAACTTGTCACTATTCACTTGTAACCCAGACAATTTGAATCGGTTTGTTGCTGGCATTTTGATTTGCCAACCCTGCCTCGTTTTCTTACAGTGCTGCTGTGCTTGTTTAATTGGCTCTCAGATGAAAATAAAACTGTATTTAGTCCACTTTATCTCTAAATGATGACTGATATGCGCACGCACACACACACACACACACACACACACACACAGTCTGTTGAGCTGTAAGATAAACATTTACCGCTCAGTTCACTATGAAACTGAAATAACAGGGTGTGTGTGATGCATTTTTTAAACCATGAGGAAGTGGTCACAAACACTTCCTGTGTCAGGTTCACACAGACAAAGACAGTGAGAGAGAGTTTAAACGACTAAAACAAACTGCATGAACACAATGTCAGCAACACATAGGCCCAGAAGGTAAGTCTAAATGAAATAGCCTAATGTGATCCTCACACAATACAGCTAGTTTAATACCATACCGAGAAATTAATACTGTGCTTTTTGTTTCTGGTGGTTGACAGTCCTGCACGGGACTGTTTTCTAAATACATTTTTGACCATGCAACTTGCGCGTTCCACTTCCGCCCGCACTGCAAATATTCTATATATTATATATGATTTTCGTGCATCTGGGTGCCGCTATCAGTATGCTGGGTATTGAAATCACTTGTATATATTAGAGTTAAATGTTAATTATTAGTAACTCAAACCCCTTTTTCTAAACCTCCCTACTTCTGCCATTTTTGTAGTTTTTTAACACTTTATTTTCATGTTTGTAGTTCTGAACCGAATCCTCCTCCAAAGCGCAGTTTGTTGTGGGCAATATTAGCCGTTAGAGTGTGCACGGATCCACACATCAGAAATCTATCGGAAATAGTAGACCATCCGGGAAACTTCTGGCGTACACTTTTCAACATACTATGCTTCGGCACACACTTATATTTTCTTATTTGATAGAAGATTACATTTCAAACTCAATTTGTCTATGTACTTAGATTGTAGAAATACATTTAATATAGATAATTTTGACTTGAACTCAAGACCCATCAATTCAAAAAGCAGATATTGCAAAAACTGCAATTTAATAGACATAAAGGCAATTTCAAGCAAACTGAAAAACAGTGTTCACAAAATGTATGTGTGAGATTATAGTATTATGTATAGTATGAGAATAGTATTATAGTATGAAATTATAGTATCTCACTGGATAAAATATGATATATCTGAAGAAAATTATGAAAAATATAATCATCAGTGTACATGAAATGTACCTTAAATTATAGAATGACTCTAATACATAGTGTGTGTGTGTGTGTGTCCTGCAGGGCATGTTTCTGTGGGTAACGGAGGTCAGACGGCCACAGTAGAGGAGAAGAAAGAAGACGTGATTGGTACGGTGGAGTGGAGCACAGCCACGGTAGAAAGCCCAGAGAAAAGAGACTCAACTGAGATCTCAGGTAAACCTTCAGAAAGTCACGTGGTCAGAGCTGCACAGCAGAATTGAATTGTTTGCTTTATTGACACTATTTTCCTGCATAACACTGTAAATCTGCTTTGACACAACCAGTATTTTATAAAGCGCTATATAAATAAAGGTGACATACTGACTGACATATGTTAATGAAGATGGCGTCCACAGAAATTAAGAGAACATTTACCATAATGAGTTCAAGAGGGTTTTATGATAAACTATTTTTTGGTTTGCAGGGGGGTGTTTGGTTAGTAACATAAGCTGCGTCCCATTTCTCCAAGCTATACTACATCCAATTTTTTTGTGAAGAAAAAGTATGCTTGTCTTTTCAGTTAATGACCAAATGACCATATTTCATGCAGATGAAATA